ATATATATATACATACATACATACATGCAACTATATAACTATATAACTATATAAACAACTATAGTTGTTTATAACTAGAGATATAAAATAACTAGCTTTACGATTCGAAACACACACACAGAGAGATCACAAATCCACACCTGTCCAGCGATGGCATTTTGTAGAACATTAGTGACTCGACTGAGAAGTTCGGTACCACCGCAGCATCAGTGGGTGGGGCGGGAGTTGATGCATCTGCTGCACAAGAAGGACGGGTGGGACAAAGCCTATCAGCTTACACGTGAGTAATGCACCGAGCTAAAAATAGACACTCGGGAACACTTGGTGTGTGGCAGATAAAGAGCTGAAAACAGACACTCGGGAACACCTGGTGTGTGGCAGATAAAGGGCTAAAAATATACTCATAGAAACACTCTGAAAAAAGAGATGGGGGGGGGGGGGGTGGACTCCGACTAATTATGCAACGCACCTGGTTCGGTGTGTGAGGTGCTGTCCAACTCCAACAGATTGCGACTGCCACTCGTCACCACCACCAGCAGCTCAGTAAAGTAACGGAATTGCTCCTAACCCACACACACGGTACAAGAAGAAGAAATCAGAACATACATTGCATGAGAGTACATGCATAGCATATATAACACACACGGTACAAGAAGAAGAAATACGAACATACAACGCATGAGAGAACATGCATAGCATACATAACACACACGGTACAAGAAGAAGAAATCAAAATATACAACGCATGAGAGGACATGCATAGCATACATAACACACACGGTACGAGGAGAAGAAATCAGAACATACAACGGATGAGAGAACAGCTTATACCTACATGCTCAGGCCATACACTTTTATATGGACATCAAATGGCTCAACGTGTTGCGTGAAGATATGCACGCACAACAAACACTCAGCAACGTAGACACGTAAGACGTACATCTAGTGTGTAGAGATCCATATACTGAGTCTCCAGGTTCAGCAGCTGAGCCATGACCATATCCTGCACTCTCTGTGAAGCACGCAAATATTGGATAAGTGTAGGTAAGTACTTGGTTTGTCAAAAGAGAACCAAGATTAGGATATATGTCACGAGTGTGGGCGCAAAACAAAAATATGCAAGCAGTTAGATCGAACTCATGGCAATATACTATTATATATATATATATATATATATATATATATATATGTGAGATACCGGAATACAATGC